CACACACACACACACACACACACACACACACACACACACACACACACTACCTCACTCACTCATTCACATGTACAGAAACACTCACACGAAAATGGAGATATTTTTTCAGACACGCTCAGTCAATCACAAACACATATATTATTATTATAGTATTTTTACAAAGACTTTATCATAGTACATTTTACCACACAGAGCTGAGTGAACAACTTTTTCAACAAACACATCGTAAAAGTTTAATCTCGTGTAAAATCATACACTTTGAAGATTTGAGGTCCATTTCAGTTCAAAACGTTTACCTTTGTTCTTGAAGCTCTAGAATTAAAAGTCTCCATCAAAAAATAGAAACAGTTAAAATTTGGCTGACATCAAATCATATATTATCACAGTGCCAATGGACCTAAAAGCACATAAAAATGAAACAGCAAATATAAAATATCGACAGAATACAGAGTAGTCCACGTCACTGCTATCTGGTATTTAGACACAAACGGACTAATGTTAAGAGATGTCATACATTTAACTGTAGTTGAGCAGTTGTTGTTTTTTCTATCAGATACTAGAGTCAAGAAAGAGTCCGAGGGGTCCTTGGAATCCTCATGAAGGCGAGAAAGCTCAATGAGTTACAGAAGTGCTCGTCAACCTTTGTATAACCAGCACCTTCTTTTGCCACCTTTGAGAGACAAACATTATTTTGGTACCGCTCACCTACATGATATATTCCTGAGCGAGGTATTAAATAATACTTGTTACTATTTGAGTAATTTTCATCGCCCTCCAGTCCGCTCAAATCCCCAAACCGTCCACTAGTGGGTGGTATCGCCCTGATCGGCAAACTCTGGGTTACCAGAATATCAAAGCCGGCGATGACGTGTGTTGGACGTTCGTGATTTTTGCTTGCTGTCTTCATGTTCCAGGGACTTGTATTTGTGATCGTCCTGGGGAGATAAGATAAGGTAAGGTAAGGTGAGGTGAGGTGAGGTGAGGTAAGGTGAGGTGAGGTGAGAAGGGGTGGGGTGAAGTGAGGTGAAGTGAGTTGAGCCGGGGTGAGGTGAGGTGAGGTGAAGTGAGGTGAGGTGAAGTGAGGTGAGGTGAGGTGAGGTGAGGTGAGGTGA